TTGAGCATGTTGCTCAGAGGAGTTATTCCTTGGGAAGGGACTGTTTGGAAAGGTGGAGGGTTAGCAAAAGAGAGGAAACCTTCAATGAGATGGATGGACACAGTGACTATATCATTGGGCTCAAGTGTGTCAGAGATGATGAGGATGGCACAGGAGAGGACAGGGTTCAGATTTTCTTCATAGGATCGCTATGAATTATACTTGACAGTACCTAACAACAATAACAAAGGCACCACATATCTGAATGTATTTATGTAAGATGTGAGAAAAGGCATAACTGCTCGGCTCAAGATTGTCAACCTCTGTAACTCAATTCCTGGTTGCTATGAACATATTTATATAAAAATGCATGTGACTGTGTCTCAGAATATCTTTATGTACAAAGATAGGTATGGGGCTGTATTTGGCTCTTGAGCCACAGTCCACCAGGCTCTGAATGATGGATGCTATTGCTAGCTGCTGCACAATGAAGTGAAATGTTGCCAGGTCCTCTCTCATTTCTGTGATTAGCTGTGGAATCATTGTGGTTCATAGGTTTTGGAAGTAGGTTACCTGTCCTCCTTTATAGTCCATCTTAGATTGGAACTACTTCTGAACATTTTTAGTGTAATTGAAAATGCAGACCTCCACTGACAGATGAGTTGTGACTGTCCATGAGGTATACTTGCCAGGAATGTAACCCAGGCCTTCTATATTGAAGGTGAGTATTCTGCCACTGAACCACCAATGCCTCATAATCCTTGTCCAATTTTACTTGGATTTATTTTCCTCCTGTTGTTATTGTAGTGAGATTAAATGTTGCTAACTACCTACAAGGAGAGAGGAAATGGTCAGGTGGAGGCCATTAACATTACATGGCACTTGAATGGATGCTGGAAACCCTTGACCTCACCCCAACAACAAGAAAAAGAAATCAGTACTTTAGTGGGTTTGTATTGTTCAAACCTGTGCTGTTCAAGGATAGGCTATGGATTATGCATGGATATTGCTGTGCAGAAAGTTACTGCGCATCAACCCCCATGGTGTTCAGGGCTTTTCTATATCATTTAACTTGGCATATATATTTGTCTCTTCCGTCTGAGGAACTCTTCCCATCACTTCATACCTAAATCTCTCTTACTTATAACTTCAACTGGTAAAAATCACTTCTTTCCATTCCCTGAATTCTCTGTTTCATTTAAATCAATGTTATATGGTCCTATATTCCTATGTCCTTATGTGGTGTTTGTTTTTTGAAATAAAAATGAAATGTATTGAAAGTGTGGTCCTGTTAAGGTGTACAGTCTCAGGAATCCAGTGGAGGGTCGTTGTGAATTAGAATCAAAAAGTGTAGGTTTTGTAACCCAGTTAAAGGCAATGATTGTATTTTAGAATTATCTAATATATTGGTGGTTAATGAGTTGTGCCTCTGACTCAAAGATAGGCAGTTTGAATCCACCAGTTGCTCTAAGGGAGAAGATGAGTAGTCTTTTCCTGTGCAATTTGCTGCCTCTTAAAACCTGCTGGAGGGTCAGCTATGAGTTGGTTCCAACTCAACAGTATATAACACCACCACCACCACCACCAATTTATTTGCAGAGTTATAGACTGTTTCAAATTATTTTTAAAATTTTTTTATTTATTTTAATGAAAGTTTGCAAAGACTTTGGATTTCCATTCATTCATTGTTACACACTTTCCTCCCTCCCTACCCCCGCTTAGTTCACATTTCTCTTTGAAAATTTACCCCCACCCCCAAGTCCACTCCTCTATGCAGCTTTATGCTCCACTCTTGTCATGACAATAATACCTAATCATATATTCCTCCTAAACAGTTCTCTCCCTCATCTGTTTCAATGCAGTATACATTATTTATCCCCTCTTAGTTTCCTCCCAACTCTGATGTCAGTCCCGCTTTACAACAATGACATTATGCAGTATTTGTCCTTTTGTGACTGAGATATTTCATTTAGCATAATGTCCTCCATGGTCACCCATTTTGTATATTTCATTAGTTCCTTATTTTTAAATGCAACATAGTATTCTATCGTGTGAATATACCACAGCTTCTCTATCCCTTTGTTGATGGACACTTAGATTGTTTCCAACTCTCTGCTATTGCGAACAAAGCAGCAATAAACATGGGTGAGCATATATCTGCTGAGGTGGCAGTTACAGTTTCTTTAGGGTATATTCCCAGTAGTGGATTTGCTGGGTCAAATGGTATTTCTTTTTCCAGCGTTTTGAGAAAGCACCATACTGCTTTCCATAGTGGTTGCACCATTTTACACTCCCACCAACAGTGAATAAGAGTTCCAGTTTCTCCACAACCTTGCCAGCATTTGTTTGCTGTTCTGTTAAATTTTGCTATTCTTACTGTGGTGAGATGCTATAGTTGTTTTGTCAGTCTGCAATTCTTTGAGCAACCGCCAGTTAATCTACCTTTACCAGAAAAGTTCTATTGAACAATTTAATTGTTATGTTACATAAATAAGATATGTCCTTGTCTTTGAGAAGATCAAAGTATTGTAATAGAAACAGACCTTGCAATATATAATCATTGCAAGTATAACCATTGATTATATAAAAGTTATGAAATGTCTCGTGGGGAAGTATAAGAGGGAGTAATTTCTTTAATGTCTCATGGGGAAGTATAAGAGGGAGTAATTTCTTTAAAATATATCATTATAGCACTTAGTGTCACCATTGTGCCAAGTTTATTAATTACAGTTATAGCCTAAAAAGCTATTGGAATGAATTGTGTGTAAAGTTTTAGAAGATGCTTTGATCCAAGCTCATACATGGACTTATCTTTTGGAAATGGCCAAGTAAGGCTACTTTGCCTTATGGAGTCACAGCACCACAGAAACCAAATGTTGTAGGTGCATGCAAAATGTAGTTGTAAAAGTTTTCTGAGTTCTGAACAAGTATTGAGGTTGGAAGTTATTGAAGAGAGAACTGTTGCTGTAGTTGTGTGCTGTCGAATGAAACAGAACCGACTCATAGCTGACCCTCCAGTGGGTTTTCAAGGGCAGTAAATTACACAGGAGATTGCCCTCCTTTTCCTGCAGAGCAGCTGGTGAATTCAAACCACATGCCTTTGGGATTGCAGCAACCACTTCTTACCACTTTCCTAAATGTGTACATGAAAGTGTTTCCTGTTCACTGGTGCTTTAATTTTCTGTACTAGTTTTAGGAATTTATGAAATAAAGTACTCATGATCAAACTAGGGGAGCCTAGGTCAGCTCACCCTGGGGAACCTTCCTCACTGTGAGGAGGGAAAATGTCCTCATGCACTGTACAGATTCTTTAATTTCTAGAAAGCAAAAGACTATGAAACTTTTACATTTCCATTCCCAAGGCTTGGTCCCCTCTGCATGTTACCCAGGTAATGTGTTGGTTTAGGGGCACTACAGGGAGCACTTTTATTTGTGTTATGTCTGATGTCCCTAAAATCAACCTAGAATGGCTGTGTAATGGGTTAAGAATTCTGCCAACACATATTGAGACTCAAGTATTAAAATTTGTTTTCTTTGGCTTCTAGATGGTATTTTTATGATTTATATTTCCTGAATGTTGTGTTTTTAGTGAGTACAGTTAGATTTTTTTAAGTAATATTTTATTGTGTTTTTTTGTGGAAAGTCTGTATGGAAAATTAGATTCCCATTTGATGTTTTGTATACACATTGTTCAGTGATGTTGGTTACATTTTTTCCACAATGTGTCATTACCCTTTTTTTTTATGGTACTGATGACTATATTGTATATGGTCTTCCACTCAACTTCATATGTCTCCATTATCCCAATTTTTCTTCCCCATTTTTTTGCCTTTCAGAGTACTCATAAAATTATATTTCTTTGCAGTTATATTTTTTCAAATTGTATTATATATGCACAGAATATCATGCTCAAAAGTATGTTTTGGCTTGTTTGCTCTGGATGTGGTGGCAAGAATGTATAACAGAAAATTGAAGAAAATTTTGGAGGAAAGATATAGTAAGAAAACCTCTAAGATAGTTTGGCTAGACTTTTATTAATATAGGTAGACAGAGTAAATTTTTGGAGACAGACTACACAAAACTAAGAATTGGGTGTAGTGGTGACAGAAGGAGGAAGTCAAGCAGTGTTCTTTTTTCTTTTTTTTTTACTAGTTTATTTACACAATTCTAATACAAATTTGAACAAATTCTTTCAATTTCCCTCACCCCTTCACCCAAGAAATTGTATAATCCAATGATTAACCCTCTCTTTCCCCTGTACATCCTCAACTCTCTGTTTCCAGCCTCTCCCACCCTTCCTGGATCCTTATATTATTTATACTATACTATAGTTATTCTACAATAATGATCCTAGTCAATATTTATCCTTGTGAAACTGAGTTAGTTCACTCAGCATAATGCTCTCCAGTCCCTCCCAAGTTAGGTAATAATTTACAAAATTATTGCTCCTGCATGCTGCATAGTATTCCATTGTGTGAATGTACCATAATTTCTCAATCCATTCATTTGTAGTTGGATATATGGGCTGTTTCCATGTTCTTGCGATGGTGAATAATGCTGCTATAAACATTAGTGTACAAATCTCAATTTGTGCCTCAGTTCTCATATTCTCAGACTATATTCCAAGTAGTGGAATAGCTGGGTCATATGGAATTACTTTGTTCAGCTTTATTCTTATTTTTGGTGTGAGTTATGGATGGGTAATGATGCCATCATTGAGATTGTGGAGTATAGAGGAGAAACAAAGATGAAACCTAAAGTCCAGCTATGGCCTTGCTACTTGTAAGAATTTGTAGGTATTCTAGAGACACAGATCAAGCTATCAACTCTGTTGGATATCTGGAAACCCAGTGCATGACCAGGGCTCTGGTACAGAGTTGGGAACAGTGCACAAACCACCATGAACATGTGGTTAGTGGTTATAAATATAGCATGTTTATCAGAATAAACACACACATGAACATTTTTAAATGGTAGAAATGTACTCGAAAGTTCTAAAGGTTTTTTTTTTTCCTTTTTAGGAATATTTCCAAAAGATTTGAACTTAAAAGACAAATTTATAAAGCATTTCACAGGTAAGTATATAATTTGCCAGTAATTCAATGAAATAGAAAGATTATATTGAAATTATTCTGTTAGGTACTAAGAATAAATAAATAAATGCTTGTAGGAAACTCATGATTAATTCAGGTATAAGGAAAAATATTAATTTTGCCCATAAAGAAAACCACATCTTGATAAGTAATACGCATTTGAACAGAGTTTTAAGGACACAGGAAGTAAAATATTTTGCCAACAAAGTCTTAAAGAAGGTATGATATTATTTAAGTTGGGTTGCAGGACATGAAAAAGATGCTTTCGGGCAAAAGAAACATTTGAGTGCAAAAGGAATCCTCTGAGCAGGACAGGAATGTATATAGTTTGCTGTGGAAGTGGCAATGTGTATGAAGTATGGTCAGAATAGGTAGGGCTGGGTGTAACCGCTGGGTTAGAAAGTCTTTTAAAGAGGGAAGAAGTAAATTTTCCTATCCCATTTCTTGAAAATAGATTGAATGATCTTTCCTGACTCTGTTTTGTATTTCATTTCATCTTTGTGAAATATTTACATCTCATTCTATATCCTAAATTCTAGGATGTTATGTCTTACTGAGTTGGAACTGACTCATATCTGACCCTCCAGCAGGTTTTTGAGAGCAGTATATGGCACTTAAGGAAACAGTCCATCTTTCTCTTGCAGAGAAGCTGGTGATTATGAACCACCTGACTTTAGGTTGGCAGCATATCTCTTTACTATCAAACTACCGTTGTTGTTGTTGTTAAGTGCCTTTGAGTCAAATAGGACTCATAGCAACCCTATGAACAAAAGATCTGAGTCCTGTTCTATCTTCTCACTTCCTGACACATAAACTACCATTAGATTATTTTAACCATAATAGTTGCTCACACCTCTCTCTTTCTCATCATCCAAGCTACCTTTTACTGTTTTATATCTCAGATGTATGATCTGGGAAATGTCTCACTTAAAGTCAAAGGCCATTTTTGTCATTTAACCTCAAGATTAGTGGAAGAGAGAAGGATAAACTCTCTGGTTCTGATGTTGAGTACTTTCAGGTATATGGAGTAGTCTCCCCCTTCTCTTCCTTCTATTAAAAGCAGTATCCAGATGTGAGGATAGAAGCTGAGATAGCACTTTCATTAGAATTATAGGGCTATGTTACAGAAGTATGCAAATCCCTTCTACTCCAAAGTAGTTCTTGACATTAAAAGATATGTATTTTTATAATTAGACCACAGAATAAAGGTCTTTACATATAAATGCAGATTCTTTTGAAAACTTGGAAATAGAACATTGAAATAAGTATATTTTTATTCTTCTCATCCATTTGATATATTCTTTACCATTCTTTTCCCCCTCCCCTGGGCTAAAGCATTATCTTAGCTCTTCCAAATAAAGTTTTAAAGTGAAAGATTCTGTGTGTGGGGTGCTGAAAATGGATTTAGGTTATTTATTTAGCAGACTGAAATTCACTCCCTCCGGTGTGTGGGTAGGTAAAAGAGCTACAGACAAGCTCTTTTAAGGGCATGGAAGGGTATAGATAACTACAGTTATATTATTTCCATCCATAATATGGTAGCAAACTTTTTTTGGCAATCCATTCTTGTGTTTATAATAAGCATTCTTTTCTCATCCAATAGGGTCAGTCACTTTGTCCACTGAATGTAGCAAACAATTCCATCGACTCTATTACAATACCAGAGATTGTTCAATACCAGCTTGTAAGTAGTTTGGGGCAGCTTTTAAAAAAAATAATTTAATCTTCATCCAGCAATAAATGCACATTATTTTAAACATCAAGTATTTGAGGGTAGGAAGTAACAGACTAAACATTGTATGAGATGCTATTTATAACACTGACAGTACTTAAGGTCTATGTGTGTTGTTGGAACTATAAGGAATGAAATAACTTTCTAATTGAGAATATATCAAAATCTGAAAATAACCAGATTTCCTCGAGAATCAAAATGTTTGTCAGAACTAACATTTTATCATTTTTCAAATTCCTTGGCAGAATGAAGGTATTTATCTTATATAAAAGAAAAATGAAACAATGGCTATAAAAATGTCAAAATACACTCATAAATTATATTAACTTTTTAATGTAATACTGTTTATACAATACATACTGGATTTTCCCAAATAATTATAACATGTGCGTTAAATAAAGTGCTCATGGATCCTTCTGGGAACTTAAATGAGTGAAGTTAATAGTAATAGCAAACATAATACTTAAATGATGTAATTCAAAATGTACCAATCATGATTATGTGTGGTAATTCAACAATATTAAGTTGGTTTTAAAAAAGAATCTAAATGCTCCCTTTTAAAGAAGTGCATTTTAAGTGTTTTCTTTTTAATAAGATTGGTCCAGTTAAGGAATATTTAATTTTATCCAGAATGGAAATTCAGATTTATTGTATTTTTTCCAAATGATTTGTATTAAGTGAATGAAGAAAATTCATCACGTTGAATTCAAATAAAAATAAATTAACTACTATGGTGAGGAAAGTGCAGGTTCTGGAATCCATCTGTTTACTAGTTATAAGAGTGTTACCACTCTGAGACTGTTTCAACAGCACTTACTTCATTATGCTATTAGGAAATTAATGATAAAATCACCTAAAGGCCTTGATTTATTATGTGCTTATTATTAGGTTATAGTGCTTGTTTTTAGAAAATCCATAATTAGTGTAATGTCTCCTACAATTACAGCTATTTATGTAATATATCTTTATTTTTTTTTCTAGACTACAAAAGGTGTGCTAGATTGCTAACAAGATTAGCAGTGAGTCCATTATGTATTCAGACTTAGAAAATGTAACTTGTAAGTATGTTTTTTTAATTTTGTATAATATCCTAACTTTCTTAAGAAATGGGGAATACTATTAAAAGTAGGGTAGTAAGGAAGAGGATATTCACAATATCTAGTAAACTTAGCCTGTGAGTTTTTTATTTAGTATTAAAACCTTGTCTAAATATATAAACTGGTTTTATTGAATTATAAACATTTTTTTGTAATGATTGAATTAAATGAGATAAATAGCTATTTGATAGCCTTGCAAGTCCTGAGTGGATTTTTTAAAAAGAATTTAACAATTAATATTATTTTATTGTTATGTAGAAACACTATGAAGAGAAATATTGGTGAAAATTTCTTTTTAAGCAAAGTATATCTTTCCTTAACTGATAAGAAGAAACATAAGTGAAAGTAGTCTTAAAAGTTTTGTTATGCAATCTAGATAAGAAACACTAAAAATGTAGAAAAATTTAAAGAATGAAAATTGTAATGAATATGAAATCATTATCTGTTCTGGTCTATTGCTTTTGCCAGAGTGAAATGTTTTTATTTCACTGTTTTTATATAAAGTGTTTTTATTTCACAGAGTCAATGTTTTTATTCTGGTTAAATGACCAGGGGAAAAAATAGTGCAATAAAGTATTTGTACTAAAAAACTCACAGCCACCAAGTTGGAAGCAACATCTAGCAGACCTTCCATTGAGTTTCCAAGGTTTCAAACTGCAAAGGAGAAGATTCTCCATGTTTCTCCCTCAGAGACTCTGCATTTAAACTGCCAGAGAGGCTCAGCCTTTGGATTAGCAAGCAGTACAACTTCCTATAAACTATGCTACCAAACTCTTAAGTATTTTTAGAACCTTAAATTTAATGTGTTTTAAAGTTTATTGACAAAACTAGAATCATGCCAAAGGCCTAAAAGATCTTTGCAAAGATTGTTGTAACTGATAATTCTTTATTAGGGATGTTGTAATATTTTTTGGCAACATTTCAATATCACAAACAAATCCTTTTAAGGAAATTCTGGTTCCTGAACTTGTTAAGATTGAGCATTGATGTAGTGAAGTCACAATAATCAAGAAGTGTTAGTATCTTCAATTGGCCAACATTTTCCAATGTGTCCCAAATAACTACGTGGAGATTTACTTATCCTATCTCCCAGATTTATTGTGACAATTACTGGAATAACCCTGACCTTATGTTGTTACAAAAGTCCCAAGAGACTATCATGCTAGACTGCTAACTGAAAGAGTGGAGATTCACTGAGAGGTGCCTAGGAAGAAAGGCTGTGAATAATATACTTTTAAAAACACCAGACAGTGAAAGCCTATGGAGCACAAGGCTTTTCCATGAGGGAGAGCTAACTTGACAGCTGGCTTATTGTCACTGCCGTTCTTACTTTAAAAAAAGCTATTAATGTATATTCATAATAATTAGTACTATTAAATTTGCATATGAATAATTTATAAATCATTTTTTCAAGATCATGAAAATAAGTTATATTAGTGTTTAATGGCAAGACACTTGAATCAATTACCTCTCAACCTACCTATAAAATATTTTCAGTGTGTAAAACATGAACAATTAAAAATGCATTTGGATGTTAAAATGACCTAAATAATTTTATTTTAAAAATGAAAGGACATTTACTATCTATCATGTATTGTTAATTCAGTCTTTGTAATAGATCCTGAAATGAGTCTTTATAAGTGTATTTTTTTAACCTATCCCCATCTTTGTTTCAATATATTTTATATAAAGCATTGTTGTTGATTGCCTTCAAGTTGAGCACAACTCATAGCAACCCTATGAATAAAAGGCCTGAAGCCTTTTTTATGACTATGAACATTTATCAAATTTCATAGGGTTTCTGGAGGCATGTTGTTTAGGAAGTGGATGCCACTCCTACTTCCAATATATAGAGAACATTGTTGTTGTTAATTGCCGTCGAATTGAGGTTGACTCATAGCGACTCTGAACAAAAGACCTAATGTCTTTCCATAGCTATCATTGTTTTTCCTAGTTCATAGAGTTTCCAGAGGCATGTGGTTAAAGAAGTGGATGCCACTTCTGCTTCCCAACCGGTTTTACAACTAGGAATTCCACCAAACACTGTCCACAATGGGAAACCATTCTGGTATTTGATATTCCCATGGCACAAGGTTCAGCATCACAGCAAACCCAGGTTACCTCATATAGCACATTGACAAAGAATGATGTGCAAAGTGGAAGAATATTCCTCCAGATATAATAGCACTGTTGTTGTTGTTGTTATGTCGTCGAGTCGCTTGTGACTCATAGCGACCCTATGTACAACAGCACTAAACTCTGCTCTGTCCTGTGCCAATCGCACTAGTCTCTTTTATCATTACAATAAATTTCAAAACATTATAAAACCTGGAAAATTTCCCCACAGAAATGCTTTGTTGTAATTTAAAATATTATATGCACACTTACATTCTCTTGGGACTAAATTTATAGACTATCTTTGCTACTATAGTGTGTCCTTGTTGATGCTGCTAACCCAAAGGTGAGCTGTTTGAATCCATCCATACATTGTTGTATAGGATAAAGATGGACATAAAGATTCTATTCCCATAAAGATTTTCAACTTCAGAAATTCAGTGGAGGGTTGCTGTGAGTCAGAACCAATTTGATGGAAGTGGGTTAGGATTTTTGGTTGGCTTTTAACAATGTAGAGATTAACATTTTTGCAGTTTCTTCTACAGGACTGATCTGTGATAATATTTGTTTCTGATTTTTTTATTTGTTGAGGTATAATGCAGATGTTATGCTTTTATAAATTTTAATACTTCTATGTGAACTACATAATGTAAAATTTATTTATTTGTTATATTTCAATAATTTTAAAGTCTTATCATAAAACTTTATGTATCCAAACTTTGTACATAAACCAACATAAAATAAAAATTAAAAAAGCAAAAGTGAAGGTATTTGCAATAAATGTTTATGCAAAATTTAAAAAAAAAACAAAAAACCCCCCTTTAAAGTCTTTAAAAATACCGATACCTCATCTTGGTCTATGTTTTCAGAATTAAATTCTACATTAAGGGTTCACAAAGTTTTTAAGCAAAATAAAATTAAAACCTGACTTTGTTAAACCTACATATATTTTAAAATATGTGAAAACCAGATCATAATGATATTTTTCTCTTTTTCTTTCATAGACTTTTCTCAAGAATATAAATATAACTTGAAGAAAAAGGTGCTGGCAATGAGACAAAATGTCAAGAGATGAAATTTCTAGTTCTAATGCATGATGAGTAAAATAAAAGGCTTTTCATAAGTAATTGATTAGCTCTGCCATGGAGCCCTAGTGATGTAGTAGGCTAAATGTTAGGCTGTTAGCCAAAGGGTTGACAGTGCAGACTTATCAGCTGAAAGTTGAGAAAGTCTCTTCCTGTTAAGACTTAGTCTTAGAAACATAATGGAATGTTGCCACAGGTCTGAATTTACTTGATAGCCATGAGTTTGGTTTTGGCCCTGTCATAGTTTGGATTTGATCCCTGTTTATCTTACAAATACAGTAATTTTCCATTTAAAAAATAATTTAATTATGCAAATTATACATAAGAACAATGCAAAATTATTTTTATATTATTTTAATATTTTTGTCTAATAATTATTTAATATATTCCATTTTATAGGTCTTACTTAAAACATTTATATCATATTTTGCTGTCATTTGTGTTTATTTAAAATACAAATTTTATTAAAGCTGAAATAAGAAAAATATGCTCTGTTTGTCTCTGAATGAAATATATTTTATCCTAGAGGTTATGATATTGAATGATTTATATATTTATATGTTGTTATTGTAGTTATGTGTCATCGAGTCTCCTGTGACCCATAGCTACCCTATGTATTGCAGCTCTGAAGCTTGCCCTGTCCTGAGCCAGTCTCATTTATTCTGACACACTAAGTCCATTGCCCCAGATACTGTCCATCTTATAGGAGATCTTCCTCTCCTATGCTGTCCCTCTATCCTTCTGAGCATGATGTTCTTCTCCAATGACTGGGCTCTCCTGGACATGTACACAAAGTATGTGGGACAGAGCTTCAAAATCCTAGCCTACAATGAGAAACTTAGTTTCACTCTCTCCAACACAGCTTTTTGTTTCTTGGCAGTCCATGGTATGTTCAAGACTGATCTTCATCACCACAATTTAAAGGCATTGATTCTTCTTCTGTCTTCCTTAGTCATTTCCAGCTCTTTGACACATTGCAGGTAATTGTGAAGACTATGTCCTTGATCAGGCACACCTTCATCTCTAGAATGACATCGTTGCTTTTCCGTACTCTGGAGAGGCTTCTGACAGCAAATTTTGCCAATGCAATTCGTCTTTTGATATTCTAACTGCTGGTGCTAAGAGTGTTGATTGAGGAGCCGAGCGAGCAAGCAAGCTGTAATTGCCAACAATCTCAATCTCTTCTCCATCTATCATGGTGCTGCCAATTAGCCCAGTGGTGAGAATCTTTGTCTTTTGATGTTGAGTTGCAATTCATATTGAAGACTACAGTCCAAGACCTTCTGCAGCAAGCACTTTAGGTCTTCTTCAGTTTCGGTAAACAAAGTTGTATCATCTGTACAATGTAGGTTGTTGATGAGTCTTCCTCCAATCCTGATGCCACATTCCTCCTCATAAAGCCCTGCTTCTTAAATTATCTGTTCTGCATATATATTCAAAAGTCATGGAGACAGCGTGCAACCCTAATGCACTTCTTTCCTGATTTTGAGCCATGCAGTGTTTCCCTGCTCTATTCTGATGACTGCTTCCTGGATTTCATATAAGCACAATCAAGTGTTCTGGGATTCCCATTTTCCTGAAGGTTAGCCACAATTTGTTATGATCCACACAGTCAAAATGCCTTAGCATAGTCATTGAAACACAGATAGACATTTGTATGGTACTCTTTGCTTTCTGACAAGATCCATCTGGTATTGGCAATAATGTCTCTAGTGTCACAACCTCTTCAACTTGTATTGCTGGTAGTTC